CCTGGAGGGAGTCGTGCTGCTCACGCCGAACGCAAGATTCGATGCACCTGGCTTCACATTAGCAGACAGTGACATTACATATAAGGCACTCACCTCCAGCTCGGGCTGAGAAGGACGTCGTTGCCGTACTGCTCGCGCTGCTAGGCGAAGAATCAGATCATGAGTGACCAGAAGTCCAGTTCAACGGAAAGGCGACCCCGGCAGCGACGCTTGCGAGACCGGTCGGCGTCAGGTTCGACGCTGTCCACGTTATCGATATCTTGACCGTCCGGGTCCTCGATATCGAGCGCATCTCGGTTCTTGCATGCAAAGTCGCGCTTTAATGGTCCGATGAACAAGAGCTGGATCAAGCGAGCTAAGGAGTTACATATATGGTCAGAGTAGATGTTCTGGCTGCTGTGCGCTCTTGGCTGCTCCGAGGAAGTTATTGGCTGCATGTCGTCCACATGCTGTTTTACCCTTCGGATGAAACAGACTATAGCGGACCTTACACAAGACATCAGCATGTATTTCATGAAGCGCGAGACACGCTTACAAGCTTGCAAAGAAATCTCCGCATATGAAAAGGTGCGCCCAATGACGGCTATGGGGCCGTGCGTTCGAGCCGCGATGCTGAAGGCATCTTGCAGGCAGTATTTTCCCAGATTTTGCTTGAAGCAAGCCTCGTGTGCGACGAGTCAGTATACCGACGAGTCAAGGCGGGCCTCAGCTTGTGTCGACTGCAGCGCCATAAAGGTAGGGAAATGTGGAGACGTCTGGCGGCGCGATGGTGGCAAGAGACAAGGAGCGCGACGCCCGCAACGCCGACGCGCGGCCCCCTTAAGTACGGCGCTTATGAACACGTGGGTCACACCTCAGAGCAGCGCGAAGTCTCGCGAAGTCCGCAACTCTGCGTTGCCGCTATACAGCTCTCCTACACTCACAAGGACATTACTTGCAGCTTCCAAATATATTATACTACACTCTGATGTCCACTGTACAGCCGTGAACATTTTCTTATTGCGGTACATCGCCTCTGTGCACAGCTTTGCGAAGTCCTGAGGGTCGACTGAGGGAGTGGGCGTGGTCGTTGAAGGGTCGGAAGGTGATGAAGATCGATGTCCACTGACGGAGGAATTTTCTTCTTTGCCTTCGCCTTTTGCTTGGATGCATTGATCTCTCTGCACAGGGGCGGAGAGCACGGCGGATTTGCCTCAGTCGTGAGGCCCACGTGCACAAGTGTTGCTGTCGCAAGGCAAGCATCCTGCGGTGCTGATAAGAGATTCGCTGGTACAGATGCATGAGGACGAGAGGAGGAGGTGCGTGGGTGTGCCGAGACGTCCGAGTCGAGACTCAAGAGGGCGGCGGCGACGTGTGCGCTCTTGCGGGGAAGAGTAGAGCTCCCGCCCTCCCCGCCATCACGCATGTGGGGACAAAGCGCCCATTTCACCATCGGCGCAGTTTGCCGGACTGTTTTGACACAGTCATTCGCAAGATTCACCTCAGTCATTCATATGAACATCCGATCTTACGACAATCACAAGAATTCTTATCACATTCGTAAGATTCTTCCCTCAAATATTCTGAATGCAACATTTCTCAACGAGCCTCAGAATCCCAGTTGGCCGTGTAAAGCCGCAAAGAGTCGGCTCACCGCCGTTCTTTTGTGAATAACTCCTCCCCTGTTCATTTTTGGGCTGTCTCCTTTTGGAATATGTCTTTCCGTTAAGCTGCGCAGCCTTCCAGACAGATTCGAAAATAGGTGCCCGAAACAGTCCCTTTTAAAAACATACCCCTGTAAATGCCCGGAAAATGCGTTATATTGCCAACTAGGGCTTGTAGCGTTTTTTGCTAAACGATTTATTAGTATAGTAGGGACGTTTTATAAAAGAGCTACATGGTCTGGTGGACGCTGACACTTGACTTCTTCGGCAGAGACAGCTCCACCATCAAGGTCATCTCCCTCTTCTTCGTTGTCGCCACAGGCAGTCACCGGGCAAAGAGAGTCTGCGGGATAGCGGCGTAGAGTAGGGGATAGTTGACGAGCTTTTCTTGGGCTGGCAAGACCTCATTGTCAACAGCAGCGTCTTCCGTGCCCTCAGCCTGACCAGCTTGTTTGCTGCCCCCAAGACAACATATTATAATGAGCCAGAGGCCGTGGCCGGCTCTTCAGTGACGACCTGCGCGCTCGTAATGTCTACAGCAGTGGACGGCTCAGCAGAGAGCTCGGTCTCCTTGACGTTTTTGGTGGAGGTTGAATCACTAGATATCCGTGGTAAGACAGTGGCCGAGGGGCAGAGAACTTCATGAACTCACGTTTTGGCGTCGCTCTCAGCGTTATTCTGCTGGGAGTGTGGGGCCTTGGTCGCAGCGGAGGCTGCCCTGACCGAAGCGATACGGCGATGCTTGGCACCGCGTTCGGCATCGTCGACAGGAGTGGAGGAGCGAGATCTGGCCATCATGAAGGAGGGAGGGCGATGTGAAGCTGAGAGTGGCTGCCTGGGCAGTGAAGTCTGGGTGTAGTTATATAAGGGCCTTGTGCTTGTCAGTGCTTTGCGAATGCCCTGCCACATGAGGCCCAAAATTGCTCGAAGTCCAGAAAGTTTTCCAAGGCGGGCGGCCAAGCCTCCACCGCGGCGTTGGCAAGCACCGCTCGCGGAAGCAAAGTCTTTGTGTCGTGAAGCGTCCCTGAAAACAGCACAGCTGTTGGCCGAGGGCACTCAATTGCAGCTTGAAATAACGGATGAGCTCACATTCAGCAGTGTCCAGAGCACTCCAGGCCTTCATGCCGAGCAAAAATCCCTGTATTTCTGTTGGACCTGTCTTCCTCGCGGGTTTCAGGCAGCTGTGTAAGCGGAAAGTCAGCGCTGAGGTCCTTGCTCTCACCGTCTTTGCCTCAGATGACATCGATCGTTCTCTTCACACGTGCTCCTTCTGCGCGGAGGTCGCTATGGCATTGATCCTGAGTGAGTAAGTTGTGAAGCTCATCTAGACAACGTCACTGATCTGTTGAATAGAGAAAGGAATATTTGTTCGAGACTTATGGCCCAACTTTCCGAGGATCTGCAAGGACACGCTTGAGCAAGGAACAGCCACCGAGCGGGATATGGTCTCTGAAGCCCCCAACAACTTGCTCAGCTGGGCTTACGACGTAAGGGCCTACGTGGAGGCGGTGGACAACGCAGGCTCCGTTTCCAAATGCTACGAGCTGCTGTACAACCCGAGGGATAACACAGAGGGCTATGTTCGTGTTGCGGTGCGAGTATTGGGAGTCGTTCAGTACTGCGAGCTGTCAGCAACTGGGAATTGGAAGGGGTGAGCAATTTGTTCATCGTCGCATTCAAAATGGGAAGCTGACTTGTCGCAGTACGGAGGCGCATGCTCCGCAAGCCCAGCATTTTCTTACTCTGTCAGATGGCGGACAGAGAGAGCTGTTCCATGCTCAATTCAACGCGGTGGAGAATCTCAGAGAGCTCATATACTAGAGGCTGAGAAAACCATTCTCGCAGAAGACGTACAAAGGCCGGCTTTACCTAAAGCGTCATGTATTCTCAAAGGTGAGTATACCTTGCAAGTCACTATCTCTGCTGGCTGAATGTGGGAAGTAAAAGTTAGATGTTGCGGACCGAGGGTACAAACACCGCACGAGGGACGACAAACGGGGAGCGCGACAACGAGGCGCGACGGAGCGAGTCACGCAGCTAACGCACAACTTATTTAGCTGTCCGTATTGACCAAGATAACATTAGCATAGTAAACTACCATACAACGGAGACTTACCTGTCCGTATTGACCAAGAGGTCGAGATGACGGACAGGCTACAGGGGCAGGGGTATATATACTACTGAGGGCTGCGCACGGACCAGGCAATCATGTGATGTGAAGGTCGCACGCGTTTCAGAGCGCTTGGGATCGAAGGGCAAAACAGGTTGGAGATCCATCAGTGTGGCTGAGTATTCCGGGCCTTTC